CCAGGTCTGGGGAGGTGACTTCAGCCATGCATAGCAGGGCTGGGGGACAGGACAGTAATGCTAATGTCTGGCTGGTCCCTCTCCATCTGGTTTTGGTCTTGGATAGCAAGGCCTGGTGTAGGTGCTACAGCAGTTGCCAGTTGAGTCTGAGGCAGATCTTCACCATATAGCTTCACAGTTGTGCTTGTCTACTATGGTGCTCTGTTGGTGCAGTAGGGGACTTATTTGCTCTTTTTTTTTTTTTTTAGAAAAAAGATTATTGGTTGAAGGGAAAACAGCTGTTGTCTCTATCACTCTTCCCTTCTCCAGTATTACACATGATGTTCAGGGGAGGCCACGGAGGAAAATATTGATTGTTCAAAGACAAATGCCCTGACAAAGGTTTAAATAGGCACAGCCATGTAATGTAATCGGCAAAAGACAAGAAGATGAATGCTAAGAGTATTTTGTGATGGATTTGTTCACTCTTATTTTATTTTAAAAGATTTATTTGTTTATTTGAAAGAGTTACAGAGAGATCCTCCATCTGTTAGCTGACTCCCCAAATGACTACATCAGTCAGGAGCTTTATCTGGGTCTCCCATGTGGGTACAGAGTCCCATGAATTCTGGCCATCCTTTGCTGCTTTCCAAGGCACATCAGCAGGGAGCTGGATTGGAAGTGGAGCAGTCAGGACTTGAACCTGCACCCATAAGTGATGCTGGCGCTGCAGGCAGTGGCCCAACTTGCTGCAGTGCAGCACTGGCCCGTGTTCACTTTTTTTTTTTCTTTTTTTTAAGATTTATTTATCTACTTGAGAGGCAGAGTTAGAGAAAGAGAGTGAGAGCAGTCTTCCATCCACTGGCTCAGTCCCCAAATGGCCACAACAGCTGGAGCTGTGCCAATCCAAAGCCAGGATCCAGGAGCTTCCTCTGGGTCTCTCATGTGGGTGCAGGGGCCCAAGTACCTGGGCCATCTTCTACTGCTTTCCCAGGGAGCTGGATTTGAAGTGGAGCCAGGACTCGAACCAGTGCCCAAATGGGATGCCAGTTCTGCAGGTGGACGCTTGACCTACTAAGCCACTAAGCACTGGCCCCGTTTTTCACTCTTTTTAAGAAATAACAAAATGAAACTTTTTTTAACCTTGGGATATTTTTTTATCTGCATGCTATGCTTAGAATTGCAGCAGCCGTGTTGTGAGAGGTGCTGGTTACTAGAACAGGCCAGCTGCACGCTGCTGGCAGAGCAGAAAGTGGAGCACACTCTTGGTCTCAGTGTGCTGAGGGTCAGCCACCCGACCCACCCTGGCAGTGCCCTGATGGTGGGTGGGAAAGGACTGTGAAGCAATGGTGGCCTCCAGGAATGCTACCAAGCAAACTGTCCTAAAGGTAAAGGAACAGAAAGCTCCCACAGAGAAATCCAAACCCTCTGATCACATGGTTTGCTAAATTGGTTTAAAGCTCACAGAGAGAAGCAAGAAGAAAGAAATGATAGGTCAGGACATGGTACAAGCAGGGTAGAAGGACCACAAGCTAATCCTGGGGTACACGGTGTTCATAGGTCCTGCTTCTCTTTCTGCTGCATCCGCCTTTCTGCTGATGGTCATTACCAGGACCAGAACTGAGGTTTGGGTGAGGCCCACAGAGAGCAGGTGCCCTGGGCTGATGACACCCAATTGCAGTATCTGAGGGATGCTGGGAGAGGTATGTCGAGTCAGTTGCTAAAGCTTGCAAGTTACCCTGAGGAACAGTCATGAGTTCGGCTTGTGATTCATGGACAGAAGACACAGGAGGCGGGAATGAGTGTCAGCAGTGTGGTTCTTAGCTGGGCGGGTTTAGCCCCTGCTGTACATTAGCAGTGTCTGGAGACACTTCCATTCTCATGGCTGGTGTGTGTCGGAGATGCTCCTGGTGTTCAGTGGGTAGAGCCAGGGATGCTGCTATCCATGGTGCAGTGGACAGCCTCCCAAGGCAAAGAATTAATTGGCAGGCGCTGGTGTCCTGGCCTGGCAAGTAAAACCGCTTCATGTGGCGCCAGCGTCCTGTATGGGCACCGGTTCAAGTCCTGACTGCTTTACTTCTGATCCAGCTCCCTGATAATGCACCTGGGAAAGCAGCAGAGGATGGCACAGTGCTTGGGCCTCTGCACCCACATGGGAGACCTGGAGGAAGCTCCTGGCTCCTGGCTTCAGATCCGCCCAGCTCCGGCCATTGCAGCCATTTGGGGAGTGAACCAGCAGATAGAAAATCCCTCTCTCCCTCTCTCTGTAATTCTGCCTTTCAAATAAATAAATCTTAAAAAAAAAAAAAGAATTAATTGGCTGAAAATTTCAATGGTGTGTCAAAGTTGAGAAACCCTGAGTAGCACTGATGGGGGTAGAATTGAGAAATTGGGAATATTGTTTATGTATTTTAAGTGTATCTTGGGGTTTTTTTTGTGTCTCATATACTTAGGACATCATGAACCTTTATTACCCAGATGTCCTGTGAGTATGAAGTATGGATCTTCTAACCCTTTCTGTCAACGTGAAACACATACACAATCTTCTTATACTTTACACATCCTGTGAATGAATTCTGCCCACGTCTGACAAAACTTTGCTTACTAGCTGCTTATCTGTTCTTAAAAGCTCTTAAAAGGGTTTGCATATCTTTTATAAGCCTCACTTTTCTTCACTAAAAAAAAAAGCAAACCTAAATATTCTGAAAAGCAAATTCATATTACACTTGCCCTGGAATTTTTCATGGGAGATGAGATGATCAATGTGCCAATTATTTAAGCTACTTCGGATTGTATTTCTTTGACTCCAAGCTGAGAGCATCCTGGCTGGTTCTCACATGAAGCCAGTAGAACGATATATTCCAGAGACAAATGAAGCATGGACTATAATTATAGGTGTCCTAAGTGGTAATATAAGCCTCAGATACAACAGGAATATGGTGCCTGTTTTACAGCAGTGCTTGTTTGCTCATGTTGACATTTCAAGCAGCTGTAGGCATAGTGTTTATCACAATGGGGCTGTGTGTGCTTAAAATTTCACACTTTTTGTGTTTGGAACAATTTTTGTTTGGTGACCTCTGTAGCATTTTATTTCTTTATTTTTATTTTATTTATTTGGAAGGCAGAGCTACAGAGAGGGGGAGACAGAGAAAGAAATCTTCCATCTGTTGGGTCAATCCCTGAATGGCCCAAACGGCTAGGGCTGGGCTAGGCTGAAGCCAAGAGCCAGGTGCTTCTTCCAGGCCTCCCGCGTAGGTGCAGAGACCAAGGACTCGAGCCATCCTCCACTGCTTTCTCAGGTGCATTAGCAGAGAGCTGAGTTGGAAGTGGAATAGCTGGGTCAGGAACCTGTGCCCATATGGGATGCTGGCACTGCAGGCGGCACCTTTACCTGCTACACCATGCACTGGCCCCCTGCAGTATTTTTTTTTTTTTTGACAGGCAGAGTGGACAGTGAGAAAGAGAGAGAAAGGTCTTCCTTTGCCATTGGTTCACCCTCCAATGGCCGCCGCGGCCTGTGCGCTGCAGCCGGCGCACCGCGCTGATCCGATGGCAGGAGCCAGTTGCTTCTCCTGGTCTCCCATGCAGGTGCAGGGCCCAAGCACTTGGGCCATCCTCCACTGCGCTCCCTGGCCACAGCAGAGAGCTGGCCTGGAAGAGGGGCAACCGGGACAGAACCGGTGCCCCAACCTGGACTAGAACCCGGTGTGCCAGCGCCACAAGGCGGAGGATTAGCCTAGTGAGCCGCGGCGCCAGCCTGGCCCCCTGCAGTATTTTAAAATCAGATTTTGTTGTTGTTGCTTTTGGCTCTATTGAGAGAGTAACATTAGAAACTTTTACTTTTATGTATTATTTGTATTTATTAATGATAATTTATATTTTAGTGCTTTAAAAATAAATTGCTTTTGAGGTTTTCTCTTGAGGTAACTCCATTTACAGGAAAGTTTTTTTCACATATATAAAATTAATGAGAAACATTTCAGATTATGTAAATGTAAAAAATAAAACAAGCAGGAAAGGCTTCAAGAGAATTCATTTAAAATGCTTATGGTCTACTCCTTTTCATTTCTCTTAATTTTCTTTGCCTTATTTTCCTTTTTTATGCTAGAAATGAGTATTTTATCAGATAAAAATATCACATATAATATAAAGAAATGGTAAGGTATGGTAGCCAAAACAATTGATAGAAACTTAAAGTAAAAAAACAAATAAGAATAAGAAAAAAATAAGACGTTTATGTTAGTCAGCTTTTTGTTACTTTAACTAAAATACTGGAGAGGAACTTCTTGGGAAAGCACACGTTCATGTCAGCCTGCAGTTTGGAGGTTTGTGGTTCAGGACTGAGTGCCCCATTGGTCTGGCGACTGGTGGAGGACAGCCTGTGGCTGAGCAGGTGTGCTGGAATGGCCATATTGGGGGCCAGGAAACGGAGAGAAGCTGGCCCAACTCAGCTTCTAAATCACCTTTCAGGAGAACCACCTCCTGAGGGCCTGAAGCACCTATAGTTTTCGCACCAGGCCCACCTCTGACACCAGAGTTAGAGCCAGCCTCCACCCTTAGTTCATAAACCACTGATGTGCAGCATCTGCATGGAGGGGAGCCAGTCCTGTTCAGTCCATAACAGTGTCTTAAAAATAACGATGTGCTTTTGATAATTTCCTGTGCTGAAACACAGAGAAACAGACACAGATCTTCCATCTGCTGGTTCACTTCCTAAATGCCTGCAGGAGCTGGAGCAAGGCCAAGCCAAAGCCGGGCGCCCAGAACTCAGCCTGGTTCTTTCATGTGGGTGGCAGAGACCCAAGTTCTTGAGCCATCACCTGCTGCCTTCCAGGGTGTGCATTAGCAGAAAGCTGAACCTGAGCACACCAGGATGGGCTGCAGGCATCCCTGGCGGTGGCTTAACTGCTGAGCCTGGGCTGAAGAATTGTTAAACAAGATGTATCAACTTCATCCTAATTTTTAACTGTTGCACATGTTCAGGGCCCTCTTTCCTCATGGTTTCCTTTTTGTTTTTACAGTGATTTGCTGTCTTCTGAGTACATAGAGAGATACATTGACCATGGAGGCAAGACTGTGGAAGTTGAAGTAAGTGAACTTCTCCGCTCTTTGGGAGGAAAGTTTTTGAAGATATTTTAAATACTGCTGGATATGATTTTAATTTTCAGTGATGCTTCCAAGTAGTTTTAAGGGTTTTAAAATATTTTACAATCTGTTGAGAAAGTTTATCACCCTGTTGTGAAATAAATAAAACTTTATCAGAAAAAGAATTCTTTATGTATTATAGGTATTGAACTTACTCTATGGTATTAATAGAGCTGCAACTAGTTCTTTGTTAGAATCTGTCACAGAAAATTGCTGAAATTGCCTTTAAGGTTGATACTGGGAACATAGAGGTGAGATTGTGCATCCAGGAGAGGTGCATGACTTTGCATTAAGCTGTAAAAGACTTTCCCCTGGCAAAATGTGATCATTAGATGTTTTGATTTATTTATTTGATTTGAAATGGAGAGATGGCCGGCACCACGGCTCACTAGGCTAATCCTCCGCCTTGCAGCGCTGGCACACCCGCTTCTAGTCCCGGTCGGGGCTCCAGATTCTGTCCTGGTTGCTCCTCTTCCAGTCCAGCTCTCTGCTGCGGCCAGGGAGTGCAGTGGAGGATGGCCCAAGTGCTTGGACCCTGCACCGCATGGGAGACCAGGAGAAGCACCTGGCTCCCGCCATCAGATCAGCGCGGTGCGCCAGCCGCAGCACGCTGGCCGCGGCAGCCATCGGAGGGTGAACCAACGGCAAGAGGAAGACCTTTCTCTCTGTCTCTCTCTCTCACTGTCCACTCTGCCTGTCAAAAAAAAAAAAAAAAAAAAAAAAAAAAAAAGAAAAGGAGAGAGGGGACACATGAAATACCTCCAACCTCTGGCATCAGGAGTGGTGCTGGGGCTTGAACCAGACACTCTAATATGGGATGTGGGTGTCCTAAGCAGCATCTTAACCGCTGAGGGAATTTAAAATCCCTGGAGACAGAAGTCTCAGGATATTGGTTATGACAGACAGGTAAGTTCTGGAAAGATTAACACATAACGAAAGCCTCCTTCAGCTGTAGGCAAAAGGGTGTGTTTTCCCCAGTCTACTGATGATGTAATTTGAGGTCATGAGAGACCAACAGCCATGTATACCTGTGGGGTTTCTTTCTGCTCCGCGCAGTGAGCTTTGGCCAAGTGTTTCTTTTCTTCTGAATAGCGTTCAGACTGTCTCTTCTACTTATCTGAACTGCAATGGCATTTGTTTCTGTTAATTTTCTTTTCCTAGTTACAAATTGATATACTCTCATTTAGCACAGAACCGTAAAACAAAAGGGGATAAATAATCACTGTTAAGCTCATCGCTGAGAAATACTGTGCTTTCTTTCTTTTTTTTTTTTTTTTTTGGTATTCCCTTTTAGTATTTTTGTCTTATGCATGTATTTATATACATTTACCTAGTAAATATCTTTTATCTGCAACGTTATATGTTATTGGTTTTCAGTAAGTAGTATATCATATTGTAAACATTTTCCCGAGCTATTTTTCCATAAAGCCCAAGTTGCCCAGTTTTCTGTTTACATGTATTATTGTAACAAAGCTTTTCATTCAGTTTTAACTCTGTTGTCAGTAATGAAAATTACGTTGATTGTTCATCATCAATTCAAATGACAACCTGAAGAGAATGGGGGTTTTCAGTTACAAATATAAGTGAAAAAAAAAGGGAAACTTTTTGTTATGGAACATCTGAAACACACATGGACATGGACGTATAAAGAATGCTTTAGGGCTGGCGCTGTGGTGCAGTGGGTTAATGCCCTGACCTGAAGTGCTGGAATCCCATATGGGCGCTGGTTCGAGACCCGGCTGCTCCACTTCCGATCCAGCTGTCTGCTATGGCCTGGGAAAGCAGTAGAAGAAGGTCTAAGTCCTTGAGCACCTGCACCCGTGCAGTGCAGGAGGCCTGAAGAAGCTCCTGGCTCCTTGGCTTTGGGTAGGTGCGGCTCGGGCCATTGAGGCCAACTGGCGAGCAAACCATCAGATGGAAGACCTCTCTCTCTCTCTCTCTCCCTCTCTCTCTCTGCCTCTCCTTTCTCTGTGTAACTCTGACTTTCAAATAAATAAATAAATCTTTAAAAAAAAAAAAGAATGCTGTAATGAACTCCCTCATTTCCATCATCCAGCATCAATAGTTATCAACAGTTTGGCAGTATTTTCTCTCTCAGTTTACTTTTTTGTTTTCTGTGGAGCGTTTAAATAAATTCTAGACACTATGATAGTTAACTAGTAAATGCGTATCAATATATCTATACATTTATAACTTATAAAGAATTAATATATCTGAAGTTTTACGAGTACTTAGATACATAATTGTACCAGTCGTTTCAGAGAGTTATTCTAAACTTAAGACTAATAATTGAGTGTTGGCTTACATCACTGCCTTCTCGCCAAAGGTATGATGTAGGGGAACAGAGTCATTTTGCTTATAGTTGGGGAAAAAAAATACGTACCTAGATTTAAAGACTGCAGCTTCTTTTATTCTCATCCTTGTGTATTTGGCTAACTTCTCTGTTTTGTATGATAACGGTTTCTGAATGCCCAGTATCTCTGATGTCTTTGTCGAAGAAGAGAGTGCACTCTTTCCATCCAGGCCTGTGGGTGGAGCAATGAAAGGCAGTTCTGGGCACTGAAGGTGGGTCCACGAGTCTTTAAGGTGATGCTCCTTTTTGAGGACATCTGAACTCAGCAGAGCACAGGTCATCTGTGATCACAGGGCCCGTGGTGTGTGTAATACACAAAGCACGACTTGGACACACAGTCTGTGCTGGTTTTCTAGCCTGACTTTGTTTGCATTTTCTTAGGGAACTGAGAAGCCTTACTACCTCCACACCCTACAGCCGGTGGCTATGTCTCCCCTTTAAGGAAACCTCCCTGGGGGTCAGTGTTGTGGTGCAGTTGGTTAAGTCACTGCTGTGGTGCCGGACATCCCATGTCAGAGCACTGGTCCGAGTCCTGGCTGCTCTGCTTCTGTTCCAGCTCCCTGGTAATGCACCTGGGAGGGCAGCAGAATATGGCCCCAGAACTTGGGCCCCTGCCGCCTACCGTGGGAGAATCTGGATGGAATCCCAGGCTTCCGGCTTCAGCCTGTTGCAGCCCCAGCTCTTGCAGCATTTGGGGAGAGAACCAGGGGATGGAAGGTCTCCCTCTCATCTCTGTCACTCTGCCTTTCAAACAATAAATAAACCTTAAAAGAAGAAGCTCCTGAGACATTCTCGTCTGGGTGTTCTCCGAGAATCGCACTGTCAGAAGCCATGGTCTCCCTGCGGCCTCGCCCTCTGTGCTCGGATCTTCAGGAGGTTGCCTTTCACAGGGAGTCTGATGGAGCTCCCTTTACCTCTTCCTTAATGCCTCGGAATTCTCTTCATGTTTTCATTTTGTTGTACATAAGAATCAAACAACATTGTAACATTTCATTGGTTAATGGAAGTTTCCAGTTGTATAAACTCATTTTTACAGTACTAACTATAGTAACATTTACCTCGACTGTTAGCAATAACTAACATTTGTTGCAGGATGTGAAAGGCACACCCATATATATACCCACACACCCACACGTACATATGAACATGATTCTCGAAACAACCAATGGCTATAAGTACTTTACAGAAACCGAGGCACAGAGAAGTTATTTACCTTGAAGAAATAACACAATAAGGATTAATGATGCTGCAATTTGAATCTAGATTACTGAACTCCAGAGCTGCCTCTTAGACCATATTATTATTTGCCATATATTCTCTGTTATGTGATATAGGACTTTTTTCGTAAAAATTGAAATGTGTTTATATTTATTGTACATATCTAGTTGATTTTATAGGTATCTTACAAATAGTTTGGATTAGGATCCTAATCATTCAGAATGGGTATGTACAAGGACACCTGTGATGTGGTTTCAACCTTTGGCAATTAACTGGCCACTTCTCAAGTCCTTTGATTGACTTGAACGCACTCAGGAGTCGTTGTCTCAAAAGTCTTAATTGCATTCCTGGTGGCAGCAAATAGATGGATAAGGAAGCAAAGGGGTTTGGTCAAAGGTTGATGACTGGACATGGGTAAAGGAATTAGAATGAGTGCTGTATTGGGGGGGAGCAGGTGTTGAAGGGGAAAGCATCCACATAAGGGTGGGAGAGGTTAGTGTATTTCTCTGGAGCTTTTAACTCTAATGGAATGGTAATTTACATTAAAGTTTTTTTTTTTCTTTTTTTATTAAGGTCTGGTGAAATGGCCACTGGCATTTCTGATAACAGAATAACAGGGAAGCTGGAGTGTTTTCACTGAACAGTTTTTCTCCTGCCCTTCATATCCATCATCCTCTCCGGGGTGAAGCTCCATTAAATATTTGTAATTTAGCACAATTCCTGGGCACCTGTGCCACCAACCAGTCTGTCAATCATTTTGTGTTCGATTTTCTAAGTCAGATTTCCAGCTCATTTCTTCCTTGTTAAATAAGAGATATCACTTATAAAAAAAACCATAAAACCAAAACCACTGCCCTCATCTTTTGCTTTCTGCAGTGGAAATGTCCCAGCTTTAAGAAATCATTTAGGAAATTTTAAATGTCGTGACTGTCTATACAACAGGTACCCCCCTGGAGCCTGGTAGTTCCTGAGAACTCAGCATTGAGACAAAATTGCTTGTGATCTCACGTTGTATTCGAGATTTCTCGTGTCCTTTTTTCTAGACTTCTGTCAGAGCATAATTCTCAACAGCTGAGTGATTCAGAAGGTGCACCGTGTGTTTAAAAAAATGCTTCTTAAGATATCTTCTAAGACATTTTAAAAAACCCTCTGGAAATAATTACATAGTGCTGTAGAATATTGTGGACTCCTTTCTTAAGTTAAAAGTGTTTTCAATTTGTCTTCATGACAGATTTTAGTTTATTTCAAATGTAGGTTATAGTTGAGTGAGTGCATTGTGCTTATTTTACTTTTTTTAAATGATAAGGTCTTTACTAACACATCCTTTTATGAGACAGATTTTTCTGATTCCATTAAATGCAATTGAATAGTA